AGGGGCTGTTTGTTTGCCTCTTAATGGTGACATTAAGAGGCAGCCTCTTAATCGCTAAGAGGCAGAGGCTGTTTGGCAAAAAAAATAAAACCTCTTAATTGTGACAATTGGCTCTTAACCATTTTGCATCCTATACCTCACTAAACCATTAAGAGGTTCATTTTTCCAACTATGCCCTCCTTTCCCAAATCATCACCGTCTTCTCGTCTTCTCCCCCCATCTCCTTCTTGAAACATCATGAACCGTCTTCTCCCCCCTTCCTTCTTCCTTCTTCCTCCTTCCTTCTTCCTTCTTCTGATCGATCTTGCCTCCTATTAGTTGCTGCTGTGTCGATCGATCTGGTCCCATTAGTTACTGCCTCCCACAAGTTGAGGCTCTGTCGCCTCCCACGAGTTGCCGCCTCCCACGAGTTGAGGTTGTGTCGCCTCCCACGAGTTGCTGCCTCCCAGTCTGCTGTGTCGATCTCGCCTCCTTCCTACTACTCGTTCCTTCTTCTGCTCGTTCCTCCTTCTGCCTCCTTTCGCCTGTTGCCTGTTGGTAAGTTTTTCTCTCTAATTTTTTTTTAATCATCAATGTTATATGTTTAATGGGATTTTGATCATCATCAATGCTATATGTTTAACGGGATTACTTTTGGTGATTGAATCTGAATCTTGATTTATAGAWTTAACCAACTTGAGATTTCAGTAGGTGGTGTGTTCTTGGGTGTTTATGGTTGTTGACTTTTCTTTAGGGGTTGATTTTGGATGAACTAGTTGATTCTTTCAGTGATTCTTTGATTTTCTTGAAGAACCCATATGAAAAAGATTRTGGGATTTTGGTTTTGCTAAAAGATAGAGCTATCTTTTTTATAGATGTAAACCCTTTTGGGAGATTTTTAAGTAGATGATGTATTGGTTTGATTAATATGAAAAATCTTGTTTTGTACTAGTGTTTGTTTAAATTAATATGAAATACGCAGTTATATTTGCAAAGTAATTGTTTTATTCAGATATCTGCCAAACAACTATATTTCATTCAGTACTAAATCATATAGAGGGTTAAAATGGTAATTTATTGTCATTCAGATAACATTTACCAAACAACCATATTTCATTCAGCACTTAACCATTCTGACCCTCTTAACCATTCTGACCACTTAACCATTCTGCACAAAATCATTCAGCAACTGCCAAACAGCCCCTAAAATAGAGAAAAGATGAAAGTGAAAAAGAAAAAGAAAAAACGAAATAGACAAAAATGTCATTCTTTTTAATAGAGAAAATAAATGAAGTTAGTGACAAGAACCTTTTTCAGAGCAAAACAAAAACCACAAAAATGGTTTCTAGATTTAACAAAGATTAAACCTCCCTTCGAGACTTTTCACTAAACATCATGGACGAAAACCAAGGGGGTGTTCGCGATTGCATAAACAACTTATGTTTTTTTTATAAAAGTGATTATGAACTTATGTGATGTTAACTAGAGTTTTAAAAGTGTTTGGATTAGTTTACCGATAACATAGCGAAATAAATTAATAAGTTAGAATAAAGTAACTTATCAAAAACTTGTTATTACCGATGCCGAATCGATATAAATATTTCTTTTTCCATCCAAACATTGAAAACTTCTTGTTATCGGTAGCATACGATGTCTCCCGGGTACAAAGACACGTACTTATTCCGATGGTTATATTCTTCAAAAGCCTTTTTGTGTTTTTAATTTATTTTCATGTCACCAAACTTTCGAACATCAAGCTATTCTTTTAATTCGTTACTGGTTAACCTTTTCATTTTCAACCTCTCATCAAGTGTTCACCATTGGAGATGCTCCAATTTTACGTGTGAGGAAACTTGAAGAAGGAATAATGCTCGAATCTCGAATGCTGTCGCAATATCTATGAAAGCGTTGGCTTGCGTGCTTCCAAATTCTATGTGGCAGCGACAATGGCGGCTTTTCAATCTCGATCACTGCCATAATTCTCCGCTCATTCATGCAATTCGGTGTTTTGAGTCCGCTTGTGTTGATTAATTCTTGAGAAATTCGATATCCGTGTGAGAAGGAGATAAATCGATGGATGTCTTGAGTATTGCTGTCAGTCCTTCAGTATTTGGGAATTTCCCAACTAAAATATCAGATTGCTTCTCTTTCCCAGTTCGAAAGAGGAAGAAGGCTAACAACCGGAGGTTTTTGTTCGATTCTGCGAATCGTTTCCCTAATCGCTTTTCACTCGATCCTAAAATTCAAGCAATTCATCTGGACGAGGTACAACTATTTTAAATGTTGTTTCAGACCATTTGATTACATTTTGATATTGGGTGATCATTTGAGTCGATCTTAAAGTTGAAAATGGGTTTTGGTTTGACAAAATTTTGATATTTAACTTCATAGCGACTATTACCAATTGATTTTTGTGTGTGGTTGATCAGAAACAAAACCGGGATCATATTTGTATATGAAAAACACAAGGGCTGATGATTGAAAAAGGAAAAATGTAGCTTCTTCTTTTTCTTTTTGAAGTTCACTCAGATTCTATGTGATATGATCATGTCAAAGAAACCTAAGTGGTGTCTAAAGATGCAGAAAAGTGAGGAAGTGAGATTTTGGGCAACAAATTCTCTTAAAACATAGCATCACAATTCTATATTCTTCAAAATGTAGAAAATGGAGATTTTGAGCAATTTTTTCTCAAACAGAGTTTCCAAACCTCAGGATTTCTCCGAAAGTAGGAGAGAGGATTGGGAGTTCTTGAAACTCCAGAAATGATTACCATGAGAGAACATTTGTTAAATTATATTTCACCAATAAGAAATTTTTGAATTATATGTAAGAAATAATATTTTATTAAAATGCATGGAATATTTTAATAATACAATGCATGTTGTAATCTCCAAAATGGAGAAACTGAGAGTAAATCTTTGTATAGAGATTTTGAATTTTGATTCTTTATTTTGGAGAATCTGTTGGAATGCACCGAGACCATGACACTTCATCAAACAACAGTACTATTTATGTTGAAAATTTCTTTAAGAAGATCTCACTAGCTTAATATACTTCATGCATCTCTATTGATTTTTCAATGTCAAACCTTATATTGAAAAACCTCAAAGTTGATTTGGATGTTCTTACTAATTTACCACCATATTTTCCGGTTTGTAATGCTTGTTACCTTATAAAGTTGATGTTCCTATGAAAGAAGTTTAGTATCCACAACAATCATAAACATGACAAATTAGCAGGTACATTCATGGTCTTTTTGCACTTGTAAAAAGAGAACAAGTATGATGTAGCTCAGTTTTCGGATGTGGTTTCTTTGGTCCTCCAGAAAATCCTTTTTTGTTTATATTTAACATAACTTATTGAGATAAATGTTGCCTTCTTTTCAAATTAGGAAACTAACAATATCGTCAATGCTATCCGTGCACCTGTTTGTGCAACCTGGTGATATGTTGAAAGACTTATTTAAGCCCCCAGAAGATTTAAACCTGAGATTTATAGCCAGGATGGTTAATCTTACCATTTGGTCGCCAGCTCATTTTTATTTTTCTTTTATGGAAAAGGAGTTGAAGATTTCTCTGTTCATGCTAGACAACACGTTAGCTTCTTGATGATTCAACAGCTTACCATTAACATGAAGTTAAGGAATAGTAGAATTTTGATACACACTTGAAAGTGTTGTTAGAAGCTACATTGTTGTAGGAAAGCTATAGTTTACAAAGTGGCATGGAATCCTTAAAAAAGATATCAATGTTGTATTTATTTATATTTTCGAGTTTCATCTAACATGATGCTAAGTAGAGAGAGTATAACATCCTCTTGATCGGGTGCCAAATGGTTAATTTAGGGAACATCATATGGTTTCTGTACTCAGGATAGTGAGGCATAAGTCACTAAAATGGCTTATCTATGTACAATTGTGGCGAAGTAGGTGCATCCCATCTTCTAATCTGAACCATGGTACATTGACATATGCTTTCTTACTTAACTTGTTTTCTGTTATTGGGTAGATGCTCTAAATGTTGTTATACATTTGTTAGGTAGGTGCTGACAAGCCAGAATCCATAACTGGTTTAAGATTAAAAGATGTTGACTGGCCTTCTCCAAGTGATGAAATCCCATTTTGGAAGAGGGAGTTCAACACTTGGGATGCCAATTCAGAGGTTCCTGTTCACATAGAAAAAGATTCTGATCTTTTGCATGCTATTCATGTGACTGCTGAAATGGCACCAATAGCAAAAGTTGGTGGTCTTGGTGATGTTGTAACTGGGCTAGCTCGTGCATGTTTATTACGTGGACATAAAGTTGAAATTATGCTTCCTTTCTATGAGTGTATCCAGAAGGGGAATATCCAAGAATTATCTCTGATGTCTACATATAATTCATATAACGATGGGAACTGGATCCAAACTAATGCATACCGTGGAATAGTTTCGGGCATTCCAGTGATACTTATTGAACCAATGAACCAATTCTTTAAGGGAGATGATGTATATAGAGGTTCATACAATGAGTTGGAGGCTTATTTATTCTTCAGCCGTGCTTGTCTTGAATGGATGCAGGTTTGTGGGTTACTTTCCATCCCCTTGTTTAGATTATATCTGATTAGAAGAATTTGTTAAGATTTTTGTGTACCATGCACATTTTTCAAGTTTTAATGTATGAAAACAAAATCAAGCTATTTAACAGAAGCAACTGTTCGTGTAGGCCATTATGGTAAAAATTATAGATTAAATGAAAGAAAGAATGCTTACACTCCAAATCCTTTTGTTTGAGATTTAACTTTTTATGAAATATGATTACCTTCATAAATTTAGAATATCGTTTATCATGTTTTAAATAAATTATTACTCCAATTAACAAAATTACAATTTACAACATTACCCGGAAGAAATTTATGAACAACTTTTTAGACATTGCCAACTGAACAAGCAATAACTTTTCATAGTTTTTTCCTTGTCAAGCAGCCTTTCATTAGTCTTCTTAAGTAGCCATTGATGAAATGCAGGTAACAGGAACACAACCTGATATCATACATGTCCATGAATGGCAGACAGGTGCACTGCCGCTCCTATACTGGGACATGTACCACTATCTTTCACTTCAGGTATGACCTTAGCTTGTGGCGACACTCGAGTATTTATTTCTTTGAAATCTCTAAAGTGTTCTAAGATTCTGTTAATTAATAATATTAATGTTTGTGCTTTGTAGAAACCAAGAATAGTATTGACAATTCACAACATGGAGCATTATGGGGAGTGCAGGTATGCTCATAAATAGTTCTCCTTTTTGGTTTTTTGGGATTGGGGAATGGGTGATGGCGTTTATATGATACATGCTCCTAAAACCTTTTATATTGGGGGTTTAGTTTGGTTACACTTATTCATCCATTGTCATTTGCACTAGTTTTGAATTACGAATGAATTATCTGCCATATTTCATTCCTAGGGTCAGGTTCAGGGAAACCGCAAGAAATGAAAAACTGAAGAACACCGTAATAACCATTCAGCTGTACGGTATGCACATGTGCATACAAGTAATGTTTCAGTATACACATGTGCATAACAATCACACGTGCATAGAAAGCAGGAAACATCTTCAAATACTTGTATGCACATGTGCATACCGTAGAGATGAATGGTTTAGGGTGTTCCTTGGTTTTTTTTGTTTTTTGGGGGGTTTTCCCCTAAACCTCACTCTTTATTCCTATCATCACATTTATTTTCAAATTGGCTGCCATAATGAATATCTATCCGAGATAGGCACCATCTGAGCTTTGACAGCATTAGAGCATCTTGAAAGTTGAATTTTGGTTTAATCATGTTAAGGGTCTCCCACGATTCAAATAAATTTTAAATGAACCAACCTTGGTTCCTTTGGCAGACAAGAGCAGCTTCATAAGTGTGGTCTTGATGGATCTGTATATGCCTCTATTGACAAGGTTAGTCATAATACTTTTATGTGTCATCATCTCTCTTATACATGTATGCAGTACGTTCTTATTCCAGGTACTTGCAAAGGATAAAAGAACCATTAGTACTTAACAGAGTTACTATCATCTTTATTGGATTTAATTTCTTTAGTGCTCTCATGTAATCGATCCACCGAGTCAATGATTCAGCATCTTCGGTGACTTCTTTCTGTGTCTTCAACACCCGATTGTAAATAAAATTTGGCATCTTTTGAGTTCTTTTGAAATTTGAACAACACTCTGCATGTGACCTTGTTTCTTAACTCTCGTAGGTGGAGAAAAAATGATTTCTTTCTTTTGTCCATTTCTCTCAATTAACAGGCAATTGATGATCGAACCATTGGGCACAATCCGGAGAGGCTGAGTTTATTGAAAGGGGGCATTGTGTACAGCAATTCAGTAGTGTAAGTAGTTTGTAGACTTCTGCATGCCATTCAATTTGGCTAAATTAATGTGTGTGTATGCATGATAGTGTATCTATTATAGTGATGTATTATTCAGCCAATCTGTTCTTTTTAACCCGGTGACAGGGTTAAAAATAGTTCATCTCCGTATTCAAGGACTAGGCTAGCAAACCTATGTCGTTAGAGTTGGAGGGGGAAGAATAATAGAGAAGCATGAATACATTTTCACAATTTGTTTAACAAATGAATTTGATTCAGGTATTAGGTATATAATTAGTCAATACATTAAAATTTACAACCAAAAGATAACGTATTCTTTTGCCCGAAAAATTGAAATAGAACAATAATAAAAAAGAAAAAAAGGACTCCAAAGCTCATTCAATCCAAGAAAAGTGTGTTTGAAATTTACCTTTTTTTCTCTTCAGTTTCTCTTATTTTTCATTTATGCCATCGACTTTGTAATCATATTAATTCCTTGAAATCTCTTCTATAAATTATATTTTATGTTATTAAAATGAAATCTTTGACTAGGCCGTGAATAATTCTTGTTGTAAAGGATACCAACTATGTGTCCTGCTGTAAGAAAATTCAGAGGAAATCACTAGAATTAGGAAGTACAAGACTGTAACTTAAATTTAGAGAGATTATAAAGTGGCAATTTTGAAAGTACCCTTTGGATCGTCTTTGTCTCTTTCCTTAAATGTGCCTCTCAACTACGATGAAATTTATATATGCTGGAAGATAGAAATCAATTCTTATGCTTTCCATACGCATACAAATGTGGTTTCTAAGTTTATCATGACATGTGACTTGTTTCTTTTTCCAGTACAGTCTCTCCTACTTACCTCAACGAAACACTTTGTTCTGGATGGCTTGCAAGTGCTTTGATAACAAATCGTGACAAGTAAGCTCTGCCAGGCGTTGCATGCTATGCTTATGAGTACTCATTGGAGTTATACTGCATCACAATATGCTCATCCAATGTCATACAAATATGTAGTTCATGTTAGATTCTGAATTCAATGATATTTGCTGCTTTTTTCTTCATTCTTCCCTATTCTCAAGTGGTGAGGCGTAAAGAAGTACATCAATGCATGACCTCCAAGGTAGTTCCACCTTAAGGATTAGCACCAAGATCGCACTGTTAAGGCCCAGGGGGATGTATCCAATCCAGGTGCTGCCTAAGCCCTTGTGGCCATGGAGGTTCACCTACGATGACTCTAGGCCATTCTTGGTTGCTCGGGGTGCACATAAGCTGATCCGGATACCCACGGTTACCCAAAAAATACCACCAAGCACTTATGATTGACTAGTATTTTGAACCTTTTATGGGTTATCAATCCTTCACAACCTCCTTTCTTTTGTCACCTTTTTAATTGGATGAGAAAACATTATTCAGCAAAAGAGTATAGCATGACAAAATTTGCACTTGGAACATCCTATATTTTAGTGAAGCATCTATACCTTAGTTTTTTCTACTCATATTGCCTTGCAGTTAACATTTGGACACATTTCTTTGATTTGATGCAATAATCTTTTACATTTTTTCTTATATTTTTATTTTCAGACTTGTTAATATTGAATTCATTTCTCCTTTCGTTGGCTATGCTTCACATATTAGGTTTGTAATTTCATTCAATACCTGACTATGTGTAATTATCATCTACTGTAGGTACCATGGTATTCTTAATGGGATTGATACTGTTATGTGGAACCCTGCTTGTGATGTTTTCTTGCCTGCCAACTATCATGGTAATTTTCATCATAATTTTGGTTTGTCCTCCTTGTAGCTTATGCTTATCAAATAAAAACAATTAGAGACAGTGTACTTGTAACATTTCTTCCATTTAATTAAGCTAAAACATGCGAGGATCATATTTTTGTGCATGTGGAGATGAGAGCTAGAGAAAGAGAGAAAAAACTAGCGTCTAAACTTTCTCAACTGAAGACAGGCAGTCATGAAACTCTTGCTTCATCACTTCCTGAGCATGTAGAACAAGGAATGACAAGGTTATGATTATGTGAATAAACCAGGGATGAATGCATCTGGAGTATGTGAAGAAAAATTATTCATTCAAAACCAACTTAAGCATGCAGCTCAAGAGATGTTAACTGATTATGGACCAGTCCCAAAAAGGACCGGCCCAAGGACCGGTTATAGGCGAAAGCCTTTTTTCGGTCCTAAATTTTGAAACTAGGACCGGTCCTTAACTGGTTAAGAAATCCCCGATAAAGCCCGAAAATCGGTCCTTGGTTAAACGAAAACCGATGCAGTCAAGTCCTGGTCATAGCCCGAAAAAACCGCTCAAGGCTTGTTGCTTTTACCCCAACTATTTTTATGACTAGGAAATTAAAAACAATAATCTGTGGTCATCAATAGTAAAATTAATGCAAGAAAAATTATAAAATATTTTAAAGATATGTCCATTTATCGGTGTGCCTCGACTTTAAACCCAACATGCAACACAATCGGAGTTGAGGGGATTTATTAGAAAGAATACCGGATGTTTTATATCCAAACACCTCACAATTTGATCTCTTAAAGAAGGCTAAAAGCCGTGAAGAATATAAAAAATATTCAAGAAGACAGAAATGATAATCAATTTGTAGATACCAAAAGGATTTGTTATTTTTTTAAATCTCAACAGGATAGGTTAGGGCCGCCGGTTTGGATTTGGTCTTAAATTTTTGGCCAAGGGCTGGTTAAGGTCCGACCCGGTCTTTTTTTGGCCCGGTGTTTTTAGGACAGGTTAAGGCCCTGTCCTTGTGCTTCTCTATATCCAGACATGCATCTCAAGTTTTGCATTTATGCTTGCTCTCATCTTGTATGCATATCTTTTGTTAGCCAAAATGTACCCATGATATCAAATCCTAATAGAATGTAGCTTTCAAATTTAACAATCAATTAGTCCTGTAGAAGTTTTCTTTTTTGGATAAAGGAGTCCTGTAGAAGTTAGCTTTTAACTTTAGTAAGACTTTACAATCATGTGAGGCTATGTTGCTTTGTAGGCACTTTATTGATCTTGTTAATATTTCATGATTAAGATTTGACATCAAATCTAATCGCCAAGCCTTCCAGAAATCACTTTTCCTGCCACAATGAGATCTGGAATGCCAGTCTGATTTAACAATTGTGTATGTTAACATTATTTTCAGCTCAGAACACCTCTGGAAAGAAAGTATGCAAGCAATATCTCCAAAAGGGGCTTGGTTTGGCTTTAGAAGGCAATGCGTCCAATAACCACTTATCTGACAGGGTACCTTTAGTTGTTTGCATTAGTCGATTGGTTGCTCAAAAAGGTCTTCATCTAATTAGGCATGCGATCAATCATATTGAAGAACAAGTAAGTTGGTTGAAATGTTATGCTGCTTTACTCTTTCTAGCATATCCATCCAAAAGAAAATAGTAAAATCAATAGATGGAATGAAGTTGTTTCCAAAAGTGTAGTTTGAAGAATAATATTCACAAGCGTGAAATAGTTCATGAAATTCCATCCAGTCAGCATAACAGTTAAAGGCTTTTCCCCCCTTGTACATAAATTGAACTTCCTGAGTTTGGCTTCTGTACTATGCTTTTTTGCTACCAGATTGTATATAACCAACCTTGTAGGAAGCTAATGGAAACTATAACAAGCTTTTACCCCAAAGTAGTTGGGGTAAGGCTTACATGAAACCAAAAGAAGTTCTAGAAAAACAAGAATATCATGTCTGTAACTGATAAAAAAACAATATTAGTACATAACAGAACATGACTAGTATGTATGAGAATGAGAATTGGTTGTACTTGTATAGAATTTGATGCAGTATATACAAGCCCTTCCATGTTTTTGTTGGTCCTGCAGAGCATTGTTCTTGCAGAGGCGGACCTAGAAATTTTTTCAAGTGGTGGCTCCATTTGACTATAAAAAACCAAGTTATGGATTTTTTTTTACTAAAGTTTGTTGGTTAGTTCCTTGCTTTTTGTATCTGAGGTCCTGTGTTAGAGTCTTTTATCTCCATTTTTTAGAAACATAATAAACCTGAAATTTAAAGCCAGAAACTAAGAAAATGATAGAAATGGGATTCAAACATATGCTGGTAAGGAGAAAAGACCATGCAAACCAACTCTACCAAGAGAAACTTGTGTTATTGATATGAATCAATTGGCAAAATCAAGATTAGCGGCCAAAAGTACCACTAATCGGATGCTTATTAAAATAAACCCTGGAATTCGAGACCCAGTAATCTCCAATGTCTATGACAAGAATCAAAATACTAGAATGAATGCAAACAATGGGGTGGCCGGTCCCTTAAATAAAGTCGTACCCTAATCCTGAAAAATATACCCTAATCCTAAAAAATAGGAAAACATATTTATCCTAATAAACTAATTAATATCTTTCCTAATCAACTAATTAAGAATAAGGAAATTGCGAACAACCCCCTCTACTTGTTTCYTGCCTCTCTTTTGCGAAGCTGATATATCCGACCCCAGTGCGGGTCGGGCTGAGACGTATCATTACCCCCGCCCCAAAGATTCACCTTGTCCTCAAGGTGAAAGCCAGGGAACTGCTCCACCACCTGAGTGTACTGGCACCTCCATCGCATCCAAGTGCGTGTGAGTTTCCGGTGTTACCTCTTCCCCCTCGTCATCTTCATCATCCATTAACATGATCCGCAGGGATTTCTCGGGGCAACGGTGTCCGGGTGTGAACTTCCCGTCGCATCGAAAACATAAGCCCTTAGCCCGTTTATCTGCCAATTCCGAGTCTGTCATCCGTTTAAACGGCTGTTCGTTATCCCCTGTTGTCGGTCGTTGGGTTCCCGTTGGTGGGGCGGCCATCGGCCGTGAGCCCCCCACTCCGGTCCGCACTAGCTGACTTTTGTTTTCCCCTTTTTCCGCGTTCGCAGTGCTGATAGTTTTATTTTCATCTACCATAAGAGCTAGTTGGATCGCCTGATCTAAGTCCACTGGTTGAAGCAACCGCACGGAAGTTCGTAGCTCCGGTTTCAACCCTTTTAGGAATGTACCCTGAATAATTTTCTCAGGAATACCCCTTAGCTGTGCCGATACTGTTTCAAATTTCCCTATATACTCGCGTGCCGACTCTTCCTGTTTAATTGCCAAAAATTGTTAGTATAGGTCCCCTTCCTGAGATGACTGGAACCGAGCCAACAGCCGGTTTTTTAATCCTTCCCAGTGACGAAAAGGGTGCCTATCATCACTCCATCAGTACCATGCAAGGGCCTGTCCCTCCAACCCTAACACCGCTACCCTCAACTTCTCCCCCGTAGTAACAAATCCCTGAACGTCGAAAAATCTTTCCATGAAGTACACCCACCCATATGCATCAGTTCCATCGAACAACGGCATCTTCAGCTTACGAAGACGGTAGTCCGTCCCGAACACCCACCCCCGTTCCCCCGAAGGTCCTGAGCCCCTTCCATATCCGCTGCCAAACGGCCTTTTAGTCTCAGAAAAAGCAAACGTACCTGACTCCGAAAAAGGAATTTCTTGAGTGCCGATGGACCTGTTCGGTTCCCTGGACGTACTGCTGGTTGCATGCCACGGCGGCAGGGGCGCCCCATTCTCATCAAAAATCGGATTCGATTGCTGCATTATGGGCCGTGTGGTGCAATCGGTGAAGATTGGCGATGGCATGGCTGCTGTCGGTGGTGGTGGCGGCTTCAACGCCTGGAACTGTTGCAACATGAACTTCATCATCTCCGCATATCGCTTCCCCGTTTCAGTGAGCAACGATTCTACGATGGTCTCCAAGTTTTCGAACCGCTCCGTCGTCTCAGCGCGGAACTATTCGACGGCAGCCTTCTGTTGGGTCAACTCAGCTTCAAGATCCTGAATCTTGGTCATGGTAGTGTGGATAAAATCACAGGCGCAAGATCGATGCTCTGATACCAATTTGATATGAATCAATTGGCAAAATCAAGATTAGCGGCCAAAAGTACCACTAATCGGATGCTTATTAAAATAAACCTTGGAATTCGAGACCCAGTAATCTCCAATGTCTACGACAAGAATCAAAATATTAGAATGAATGCAAACAATGGGGTGGCCGGTCCCTTAAATAAAGCCGTACCCTAATCCTAAAAAATAGGAAAACATATTTATCCTAATAAACTAATTAATATCTTTCCTAATCAACTAATTAAGAATAAGGAAATTGCGAACAACCCCCTCTACTTGTTTCCTGCCTCTCTTTTGCGAAGCTGATATATCCGACCCCAGTGCGGGTCGGGCTGAGACGTATCAGTTATCATTGTAGTTTCAGCGAATACATGGTTGCACCCAACAAAATAATATGGTGGCTCCTTTCACGACCCTAATACATTTACACTACGATGAAAGAATGAAGCAGTGGCCCGTGCCACCGTGTGCACCATAGTGGGTCTGCCCCTGTGTACATGAAACTAGGATTGAGTTCAGCTTGGACTGGATACATGGTGTTCATGTTAATTGGTTGTCATTGTCTTTTCAGACAATTTTAACCACCTTAATAGTGTTAAGAATGAAGTGCCCTTGTTGACTTGATTGATTTATCTTGCTCTCGTTAGCTTGCAGTAAGTAAGTTTTCTTCTTCCTCCTTTTTACAGGGTGGACAAATGATTATTCTGGGAAAAGCTCCCGATAGTAGGGTAGAAAGAGAATTTGAAGCTCTAGCTAATTTGGTAATGATTTGCTGAGTTTGTTATCTCGTTTTAGTAAGGAGGCTTGGTTGATTTCTGTTGAATTCAATGATTACTTTACTTGTGAAGATAAAAAACTAAGGATCACAGAGATCCTCAGTTTTTTGGCTCCCAATTTCTAAGATATATCTTGGGTGCTGATATTTACATCTCAATTGTTGCCAACATTAAATCTACTGTTTGTAGGATCTTCTGTGAGAAGAGGAATAATTGTATCTTTTTCCTGCTCTTTTTGCAATGACTACAAGCTGACCATCACTTATTTCTGTTTTTGTAGCATAACAAAGGCTCTACGGTTCGTATCCTATTGATGTATAGGTAAAATATTTTCATGCATAAATATGCCTACTGGTTAGGCTTAGCATTTGTATTTGGTGTTGTCTTTTCATTCTTATTTTTCCTTGACAAGTGGATGTTTATAAGAAATATACTGATGATGTTCTATTGTTAATGAGATTACACCATACTCCTGGTTATATTTGGACAAAAAGTTGATTACTCACAACCCCAACCGGTCCCGCACGGAACCCACCTCCGAAGACACCAATGTGAGGGGGAATTTTTTTGGCTCACTCCGTGGAGGCCATAATCCTGGTTATATTATTTATGTTCTTCCTTTAGAAGGGAATGGGGGGTTGGGTCTTATGAGAAAATAAGAATATAATGTTGCACACCACACCCCTACCTAAGAAGCTAACTACTCTTTGATCAAGTCTACTAGGTTAGAGTTGAGGGCTGATTTTAGACGGAATCATGCCGACTATGGTCATATCCTTTCATTTTTAGACATGGATTTCCATATGAATGGATGTGACACAATTAATTTACTCAAGTTACAAAGGTCAGTTCTCATATTGATCATACCAAATATTCATTTTCCCTCGGGTCGTAAATATTTGTGCGAAGGGATGGCTTTTGTGGAATAATGATAGGGTATGACTGTAATTTGTCATGTTTTTTATTTGATATCTTCTCCAGGCTAGATAAATGATATGAACCCAACTGATCAAATGTCGCTTCTGCTGCAAGGGCATCATTCTAGTATGATAGTTTTCTGTCAAGTACTCATGGTCCCAATTATCAATCAACCAAATGAACAAATTTCAGGTGGGAAATGAGATTTGGTCATTAAGTTAGCTAGTCTAATGTGAAAGGTTCTACTGGGACACTTAATATGCAGCATGACATATCTTCACATGCCTCTTTGTAAATTTATGACGTTAATTCATTAGCCAAGTTCGCACACAATGGACTTGAACCATTGGGTTACTTGTTTAAGTTATCTATGCTGTTAATATCGCGATATATCGTCGATATATCGGATATCGCTCCTAAAGAAAATATCGGTCCATAAATATCGGTCAAAATATCGTCCCCGATATTATCGGCGATATTTTCCGATTTTTCCCGATTTTTAGCGATATTTTGATGCAAATATCGGACCGATATATCGATTTTTTAGGGTTTAAATATTTGGGCTTTTGTTACTTCATGGGCCTAGTTTTTTGGGCTTGGTAACTTAAATTAGGTCTGAAATTGATCTGCCTCCACAACGGTCTTCTTATTTCTTTTATATTAGCTCGTTTTTGAACACTTTAGATGATGTGATGTTTTAATTTTGAAACTATATTTCTAAACTCTAATTAATGCATATTATATATATAATTCTAAGAAATATTATGTTAACCGCTATTTTAGATCCATATATCACAGATATAACCGATATATCGAATATCTGACCGATATAACAGCATAGTAAGTTATACCAGAACACACATGGGAAATCAAGACGTCAGGTCCAAAGCCTATGAATAAGATCATAGCAACTTGCCAACAAATTTGTAATCTTAAGACGCGCAACACAAATTTATCATATATGTATTATTTTGGTTTTGTTTATGATAATTAGGATTTTGGAATGGATGCTTGCTGACATTCGAGTCATGTATGAAAAACCCTAACCTTATGCTAACAGTTAGACATATGCTGATCACAGCGAGGAGCTGTCGCATATGTTGTATGCTGCTGCGGATATGGTGGTGGTTCCTTCTATATATGAGCCATGTGGCCTTGCTCAGATGATTGGAATGCGTTATGGATCGGTATATTATTCAAAGAAGCATAGTTTTTTCTTTCTACTTATTGATTCACTCCGACTAGTTTCCAGGAATGGGATTGGTTGAGTTGTGAACCATGTGAGTTTAGTACAATTTAATGGTAATTGGAGAAAATCATTTCATGCACACCTTGGCATGTGCAGGAGGGAAAACTAATCATAACCATTATATGATAATTTCAGGTGCCGATAGTAAGGAAAACTGGTGGCCTTGCCGACACTGTTTTTGATATGAGTGATCAGTCGCAGCCTGAGATGGCTAATGGGTAATCTTTTATTTTGAGTATGGATTTAAATTATTTAGAAATAAATACTTTAAAGCTTTTTCTTACTTCCTATCACCTAATTTCTTGGTTAAATAGTAGTAGATCTAGCCGTTCATATAGCTGAAGTTGGATAACAACACTTGGTGAAAACCCTTTTTACTCTTATTAGCGATTGAAGAACTGCAACCTCCATTGTAAGTTGTTTGCTACCATGAGTCCATCTTTCATGTAGTGAACTTAAGTTGAATTTTAGATATGGGTTGATGAGAATTGAACTATTTCATCCCCACGGCTTGGGATAAGAAGGTAGACATCTTTGCAAAATGAATAGGAGGTCTGGGGTTTGACTCCAGGTACTACCCACCTGGGACATGCCCATGATGGCCGTGGGACTGGTATGGGGTGTGAACGTCATATACCCTTTTTGCAAAACTTTAAACTTTTTCCACACATTACCTCTTGTTACGAGTGCAAGTGATCCCTTTCCATTTTGAGTTTCAAATACTTTGACCTATTGTGTGTCCAAGGGAGATCAAGGGTGCTGCAGGGTAGGGGCGAACGACTTCTGTGTTTTGTTAGAGAGGAGAGTGGAAATTATTGGGTTGAATATTATAAGCTCCTACCTAGCGTCTGAATGATTAATCCATTTTCTGTATGGATAAGTACAATACTTGTATGGTTGATCCATACTTTACCCTTGTTCACTTTGCACAGTTGCACTCGGCAGAGTTCTGATTCGATTCCCATTGTTATTATAACTTTCGAATACTTGAGCAAGTATAAAATGCTTAGTTCTTTTTCTCTTCAAGGTTTGTCTTTGAAGGAATTGATGAAGGTTCCCTATGTCGGGCTCTAGATCGTTCATTTTCGTATTACCGGGAACGTAAGTTCACATAATCACTCCCATCTAAAAATCCACGAACACCTCATTGCTTATAAATATCAAGAAATCTTGCCAAGTTGAAGTCATCAATATTTTGCTTTTGATGCAGAACCAATCGAGTGGGAGAATATCGTACAGAAAATTATGCAAATCGACAACAGCTGGAACAAAACAGCAGGGAAGTACATTGATGTATACAACTCGATACGAGTGAGATGATGGATGACCTTCTGAATGCAATAAATCTGTAAGGATAACATTCCTAGTATCAGATACAAGTTTTTTGATGATACTTTAATCTCGAAACTTGCCCCTAGTTATGTATGTAACAGATAAGGAGGTCGATCGAATCTAAATATCAATAAGGAAGTTGCAGATCTTGAAATAATTGTTGCCTAAATCAAGTGGAAACAGTCAACAATCTCCATGTGAAGAGAGTTATGAATAGAGTACACCTTGGTATTATCCCATTTGAATGTAAGATCTAACCGACTCAATATATCCTATTCCAAAGTAAAGGTTTGTATGATTCAATCAAACTAAGGTCTATATGATCTAACTAACTCGGCATGAATGTAAGGTCTATATAATTCAACCGAATCAAACTATCTGGGCAGCATATTTCATTCAAAAGTAAGATATATATATATATATAAAAGAGCGATCAAATAAAAACCGCCTCTATTTGTGTAAACCAATCTTACTTATTTATTTTCTTGATCAATGGTTAAGATTAATCAAGGTTATTTAAGTAAATTAAAAATAAAAAAAATTGAAAATATATTTTATAATATTGTTAAGGGCAAAAGGATAAAACCAAATATTCATTTATTCAAGGAAACCATATCATGTATTTCATATTATAAATGAAACTAATCTATTTTTTTTAAAGTAATTTATTATTTTTACGTTAACATTTTTACATTAACATTTATTATTATTAATGAAATTAATTTATTTTTTATCTTGCAATTATTTCATGACGAACTACCTACATTATGCACCCGTTTCATTTTTCATTTCATCTACTGAATGGATCACCTACGCCATCACTGAAACGGGTTTCACCATGAAAGTAGTTCACCACTCATTGTTCAATTACGCCATGAACCAATTTCACCTTCATGAAACCTGTTTCATGTAAATTAATTTTTTTATTTCACTCATGATTTGATGCATTCTTTCCTTTACTCAATCTTCAAGATTCTAGAGCAGATTACAATCTTCAAGATCCCGAAGCAGATTCATCATGTACCTGTTTCATTAAGCAATTATTTCATGACGAACCAAATAAATTATGCACCTGTTTCATGTTCCATTTTTTCTACTAAACGGATCAACTACACCATCACTGAAACGTGGTTCACCATGAAACGATTTCATATTACTCATGAATCAATTACAACATGAAGCAGTTTCACCTTCATGAAACCTGTTTCATTAATATTATTTTTTTTAATTTGAACCATAATTTACGATTTCATTCCCATAATGCAATTCAATCTTCAAGACCCGTTTGTAGATTCAATCTCATAACAATATATCAAATTCAAATTTTTAATATTATAATATAATTAAATATTTAAATATTACCATTTATACAATTTCCTTTATTACGTTTCATTAATTAAGATTTATTAATAACTTTCATATTTAATAGAAAATATTGTAAATGACCGAAATATCCTTATTGATTAAATTTAATTAGAAAAAAATGAAATTTTCCTATTGGTCGAAATTGGTTTACACGATTTCTTAGAAATACACGGTTTTCATTTGAACATGCCTCTATATATATATATATATATATATATATATATATATATATATATATATATATATATATATA